GAGGAGGAGGAGGACTGTCAGTAGAACCAGGCTGGACCTGTAGTGTTGGTATGTAGACTATGATGGTATTACAGAGATCTGTGTTATGTACTATAACACATAATTATATACAGGTACCTACTTCTACCGTAAATATCTCCATAACTTTTACATTAATTATCACAATCAGACACAGATATATCATACATCTATTGTACCACAAATATCTTCAAAATTCCTTATGTAAATATTTCCATAACTCATACTGTTAATATTTCAGTCATATACAGGTAAACCATACACCTGCTGTGCCATAAATATCTCTGTAACTTCTCCCAAAATATCTCACCATATACAGGTAAACCATACACCTGCTGTGCCATAAATATCTCTGTAACTTCTCCCAAAATATCTCAACCATACACAGGTAAATCATACATTTGATGTACCATAAATATATCAACCATACACAGGTAAATCATACATATGATGTACCGTAAATGTCTCCATAACTCATCCCAAAATATCTTAATTTAATGCAGGTAAATTGTACACTTGCTGTACCGTAAATATCTCTACATGAATTCAACAACATATGTTTGTAACAAACACACAGGTTAAAAACACAAAGCCCTAACATTATAAACAGTGTTTTGTGTAATACGATATACATGGTCCAGTCTGCCTTGCTGTAGCAATAGATAACATGTCTCTTGAGAGAAGTTGGTCTCACCTGGATGTGTCCTAACGCAATGATATTTAAAAAAGGCAGCACTATAAAAACTACAATATAGTGCCAGCACAAATTCAATATTACCTTAGAATCCAGAAAAGAAAAAAATGCAATCTTGCAGATAATGTATATTACATAAAAAAACTTTTTACAACCAATAGTTGGAAGAAATTCAATTACAGAGGCTGTGTGTCAGACAATGCCTAACTTATAGATCTATGTTGGAAGTAAGAAGGTGTAGGGGAGGAATATGACACATCTCCATGTCCTCTACCCCCCTCCCCCGAATCATATCCTCCTCCCCCGAATCATCTACCCCCCTCCCCCGAATCATATCCTCCTCATTTCTCCCATCCTACACATGGCACATCTACCCCCCTCCCCCGAATCATATCCTCCTCATTTCTCCCATCCTACACATGGCACATCTACCCCCCTCCCCCGAATCATATCCTCCTCATTTCTCCCATCCTACACATGGCACATCTACCCCCCTCCCCCGAATCATATCCTCCTCATTTCTCCCATCCTACACATGGCACATCTACCCCCCTCCCCCGAATCATATCCTCCTCATTTCTCCCATCCTACACATGGCACATCTACCCCCCTCCCCCGAATCATATCCTCCTCATTTCTCCCATCCTACACATGGCACA